TTGTGACTTCCAATCACCCAGTTTTGGTCTCACTCCAAACAAAAGTAATAAATATACTAATCGCACTAATAATTAATTTCAGCCTAGCCTCACTATTAATCCTAATCGCCTTTTGAATTCCACAAATAAACATCTACTCAGAAAAAGTAAGCCCATATGAATGTGGATTTGATCCAATAGGTTCCGCCCACCTACCCTTCTCAATAAAATTTTTCTTAGTAGCCATTACATTTCTCCTATTTGACCTAGAAATTGCCCTCCTCATCCCACTTCCATGAGCTCTTCAACTAACCTTTATTCATTCAACTACAACCCTCTCACTTCTCCTAATTATCTTAGCCCTAGGCCTAGCTTACGAATGATCAAACAAAGGCCTCGAATGAAACGAATTAGTAGTTAGTTTAATTCAAAATAATTGATTTCGGCTCATTAAATTATGATTCAATTCATAACTACTATTAATGTCCCTAACCATATTTAACCTCTATATCACTTTCTTAGCCTCTCTAATAGGCACAATGATCTTTCGCTCACACATAATATCATCCCTCCTATGCCTAGAAGGAATAATATTATCCCTCTTTATCATATTATCTATCTCCATTACTTTTACACACTCATCCTTCTCATATACCCTACCCATCATTCTACTTGTCCTAGCTGCATGCGAGGCAGCTGTAGGACTAGCCCTACTCGTAAAAGTCTCAAACACATATGGCTCAGATTACGTACAAAACCTCAACCTACTACAATGCTAAAAATCACCATACCCATAATTATAATAATCCCAATAGTCTGACTATCAAACAACAAGTTTATCTGAATCAATACATCCATATATAGCTTTTTAATCAGCCTTCTAACTATCACAACCCTAATTACCCCCTACAGCTCCATACATTTCTCAACACTATTTTTCACTGATCCCTTATCTACACCACTCCTAATCCTTACATCATGACTCACCCCACTGATAATCATTGCTAGCCAAAAACATATATCTAAAGAACCACTCATCTGAAAAAAAACTTACATCTCCCTAATCATCATCCTCCAAACTACGCTTATCCTAACATTTTCATCAACCGAACTAATCATGTTTTATATCCTATTTGAAGCCACACTAATTCCAACCCTAATTATCATTACACGATGAGGAAACCAAACTGAACGCCTAAATGCTGGCTCATATTTCCTATTCTACACACTTATAGGGTCCCTACCCCTCTTAATCGCATTAATCTATATGTACAAATCAATAGGAACTTTAAACATAACTTTCCTGATGTACAAATCAGACCCACTATACAATTCATGATCCAACCACCTAGTATGGCTAGCATGTATAATGGCATTCATAGTAAAAATACCATTATATGGCCTTCACCTATGATTACCAAAAGCCCACGTAGAAGCCCCAATTGCAGGTTCAATAGTTCTAGCAGCTGTATTATTAAAACTAGGCAGTTGCGGAATGATACGTATTTCAACCTTTATCGAACCCCTTAACAAATCTTTAATATACCCATTCATCCTTTTATCTCTATGAGGCAGAATCATAACCAGCTCAATCTGTCTACGACAAACAGACTTAAAATCACTAATTGCATATTCATCAGTAAGCCACATGGCCCTAGTAATTATCGCTATCCTCATCCAAACCCCATCAAGTTATATAGGAGCTACAGCCATAATAATCGCCCACGGATTAACCTCCTCAGCCCTGTTCTGCCTAGCCAATACCAACTATGAACGCATCCACAGCCGAACTATGCTCCTAGCACGAGGATTACAAACAATCCTACCACTAATAGCCCTCTGATGACTACTAATCTCACTCACAAACCTAGCCCTCCCTCCATCCATCAACCTAATCGGTGAACTAATAATCATCATTTCGTCATTCTCATGATCCCACCCAACCATTCTACTTATAGGAATCAATATATTAATTACCGCATCATACTCACTATATATACTAACCACCACACAACGAGGTAAAACTACCCCCCACACTATAAACATTAAACCGTCCTTTACACGCGAACATACACTTATCTCCCTTCACCTTCTTCCTATCCTCCTTCTAACTGCTAAACCGAGCCTAATCCTAGGCCCCACTTTCTGTAATTATAGTTTATTAAAAACCTTAGACTGTGAATCTAAAAATAAAGAGTTACATCTTTTAATTACCAAAAAAGTACAAACAGAGAACTGCTAATTCTTCTGACCCATATATAACAATATGGCTTTTTTACATACTTTATTAGGATAACAGTAATCCATTGGTCTTAGGAACCAAAAACTTGGTGCAACTCCAAACTAAAGTAATCAACATATATTCATTATCCACCCTAGCTATATTCACAATCTTACTTTACCCTCTCCTTTTTTCCACCTTATCACCACCCAACTCCAACTTTCCAAAAAAAGTTACATCATCAATCAAATACGCATTCCTAATCAGCATAATCCCCCTCACAATTTACCTAAACTCTAATAAAGAAGCCTACATCTCCAACTGACACTGAACAACTATCCAATCAATAGAACTCTATGCTAGTTTCAAGCTAGACTTTCTATCAATTATCTTCATACCAATCGCACTTTACGTTACATGATCAATCATAGAATTCTCCACATGATACATACACAACGACCCCAACATTAACCAATTTATACAATATCTTCTTATATTTTTAATCACTATACTCATCCTAGTCTCAGCCAACAACATATTTCAACTTTTTATTGGCTGAGAAGGTGTAGGAATTATATCTTTTCTTCTAATCGGATGATGATACGGACGATCAGATGCTAACACAGCTGCCCTCCAAGCAATTATCTACAACCGAATTGGAGACATCGGATTTGTCCTAACAATAGCCTGACTATTCTCTAACTACAACTCATGAGACTTTCAACAAATCTTCTCAATAGATACAAACTCAAATATTCCAATCCTAAGACTTATCTTAGCAGCCACTGGAAAATCTGCCCAATTCAGCCTACATCCATGACTTCCCTCAGCAATAGAAGGTCCAACACCCGTATCAGCTCTACTCCATTCCAGCACAATAGTTGTTGCAGGAATCTTCCTTCTAATCCGTTTCCACCCTATTATTCAAAACAACCAAAAAATACTCACCCTCATTCTATGTATTGGCGCCCTAACAACCCTATTCACAGCTATCTGCGCCCTTACACAAAATGATATTAAAAAAATTATCGCATTCTCAACTTCCAGCAAACTAGGATTAATAATAGTCACCCTAGGAATCAATCAACCATACCTATCCTTCCTACACATCTGCACACACGCTTTCTTCAAAGCCATACTATTTATATGTTCAGGATCAATTATCCACAGCCTAAACGACGAACAAGACATCCGAAAAATAGGAGGCTTAGCCAAAATCCTTCCATTCACCACTTCAGCCCTAATCACTGGCAGCCTAGCACTCACAGGCATACCTTTCCTCACAGGATTTTACTCCAAAGACCTCATCATCGAAGCAATGAATACGTCGTATACAAACGCCTGAGCCCTAATCATTACTCTCATCGCAACCTCACTTACTGCAGCCTACAGTACACGAATCATCTTTTTTGTTCTAACCAATAATCCACGATTTCAACCCATCACTAACATCAATGAAAACCACCCAAACCTAACAAACCCTATCACACGCCTTTGTGTATCTTTGTGTATCTTTGCAGTATCTTTGCAGGATATATCATTTCAAATTTCATCAACCCAATCACTACCCAAACTATAACCATACCAACCATTATCAAACTCACAGCACTTATCATTACACTAACAGGATTTGTTATTGCAATAGAACTCAACTCTATAACACTTCACTTAAAACTTTACCCAAACACATACCACTACAACTTTTCAAACCTATTAGGCTATTTCCCACTAATAATCCACCGCCTAATTCCATATTACAACCTATCTTTCAACCAAAAAATAGCCACATCAACATTAGATTATATCTGAACTGAAAAATCCATACCCAAACTTATCAGCTCACTTCAACAAACAGCTTCAACTTCAACATCAAACCACAAAGGACTAATCACAATTTACTTCCTATCGTTCCTCCTATCAATAATAATCCTTACAATTACAGTAATCTAAACACCTCGTGTTACTTCCACAATAATAAATACACCAACAAACAAAGACCACCCTGCTACAACTATTAATCAACTACCATAACTATATATAGCCCCTACACCTACCGAATCTTCCCGAACCAATACCATCTCATCATTATCAATTACAACCCACTCATCCACATCATAAACATTCTCCAACATATCTACCCCCTCATCCCCGAGAACATAAACCACCAACATAGCTTCCATAATCACACCTAATAAAAGCAACATTCACAGCCAAATATTTGAACTCCAAGCCTCAGGATACTCCTCAGTAGCCATAGCAGTAGTATAACCAAACACCACCAACATACCTCCCAAATAAATTAAAAACACCATTAATCCTATATATGAACTACCATAAATCATCATTAACCCACACCCCACTCCACCACTTACAATTAACCCTAAACCAGCATAAATAGGAGAAGGTTTCGCAGCAACACCAACAAATCCCACTACCATGATTGTTAATAAAATATACATTAAATATGTCATAATTACTACATGGATTTAAAACCAAGACTAATGACATGAAAAACCATCGTTGTCCATTCAACTATAGTAACCTATAATGACAATTATACGAAAAACCCATCCACTAATAAAACTAGTTAATCACGCATTTATTGACCTCCCAGCGCCATCAAACATCTCTGGTTGATGAAACTTTGGATCACTCCTAGGAATGTGCCTAATTATTCAAATCACCTCAGGCCTCTTCCTAGCCATACACTACACACCCAATACTCTCACAGCATTCTCATCCGTCACCCATATTTGCCGAGATGTGAACTACGGGTGACTAATCCGCTACATCCATGCCAACGGAGCAGCCCTCTTCTTTATTTGCCTATACCTACACATCGGCCGAGGAATCTATTACGGCTCCTACTCCTACATAGAAACCTGAAACATCGGCATCATCCTATTATTTCTAACAATAGCCACAGCTTTCATAGGCTACGTACTCCCTTGAGGCCAAATATCTTTCTGGGGAGCAACCGTCATTACTAACCTCCTATCAGCCATCCCATACATTGGAACAGACCTTGTAGAATGAATCTGAGGGGGTTTCTCAGTAGATAAAGCTACCCTCAACCGATTCTTCGCATTCCACTTCATCCTACCATTCATCATCGCCGCCATAGCCATAGTACACCTTCTCTTCCTTCATGAAACCGGATCCAACAACCCCCTGGGAATCCCATCAGACTGTGATAAAATCCCATTCCACCCATACTACACAACCAAAGACTTCCTAGGAATCGTACTTCTCCTAGCCTTCTTCCTCACTCTAGTTTTATTTTTTCCAGATCTATTAGGAGACCCAGACAATTATTCACCCGCAAATCCCTTAAATACTCCACCACATATTAAACCAGAATGATATTTCCTTTTTGCATACGCCATTCTACGCTCAATCCCTAATAAACTAGGAGGAGTCATCGCATTAGTTCTCTCAATCCTCATTCTAGCCCTACTACCACATATTCAAACAGCCAGCCAACGAAGCCTGATATTCCGACCCATCAGCCAATTCCTATTCTGATTATTAGTGTCCGATGTCCTAATCCTAACATGAATTGGAGGCCAACCAGTTGAACGACCATTTATCATCATCGGACAAATCGCATCCCTTTCATACTTCACAATTATCCTAGCCCTCATGCCAATCGCAGGAATCATCGAAAACAAAATATTAAAATGAAGAAGCTTTGATAGTATAATAATTACTCAGGTCTTGTAAACCTGAAATGAGGAGCCCCTCCTCTCAAAGCATCAAGGAGAAGATTTTACATCCTACCTCCAACTCCCAAAGCTGGAATTCTACTTCAACTACTCCTTGTATGTAATTCGTGCATTATTTTATTACCACATTAATATCGTACAGTACATTAAACTAACTATCGTACATAATACATTAAATCTTAATCTCACAATTCAACCACAACAACATGAATATCGTCACAGTAACTTAAATTAATGTTCGAAAGACTAGATTTTCCATGATACGTGCATAAACCATCCTATTATGTCTATCCTCGTCCAAATGACTATCCCCTTCCATTGGTGGTCTCTTAATCTACCATCCTCCGTGAAACCATCAACCCGCCCACTAGGACCTCTCTTCTCACTCCGGGCCCATGACACTTGGGGGTAGCTAATATGAAACTATACCTGACATCTGGTTCTTACCTCAGGGCCATAAGCTGTAAAACCGCCCACACGTTCCTCTTAAATAAGACATCTCGATGGATTAATGTCTAATCAGCCCATGATCAACATAACTGTTCTGTCATGCCTTTGGTATTTTTTTATTTTCGGGATGCGAGGCTCAGCTGAGCCGTCAAAGGCTTGATATAGTCAATTACAGTCAAGCTGGACTTCCTGTCTAATATTCAAGACCCCCAAAAGATTAAGCTCTCGAGTATTTTATGAATGCTTATAAGACATAAAAAAGAATTAATACTAACTTCCCACTCAACCCATCACTTTACCTAGAAGTGAGCCAAAAACAGGATTTTAGTAGACCTATTAGGAGCAATTATTCTAAATTAACACTTTAGTCCCTATCACCTTATCACACCTTTACACAACCAGCTCTTCAAAATTAACTAACCAAAAACTTTGTCACAACATACATTCCCTAAATCTACTAGTTTACGTAGCTTAAATTATAAAGCAAGGCACTGAAAATGCCTAGATGAATCATAAAGATTCCATAAGCATAAAGGTTTGGTCCTAGCCTTAATATTAACTGTCAGCAAAATTACACATGCAAATATCCGTAAACCAGTGAGTTCAGCCCTATGTTTTCTACAGACCACAAGGAGCAAGTATAAAGCACGCGTACCCAAACACGCAGCTAAAAACACTAAGTCTAACCACACCCCCACGGGATACAGCAGTGATAAAATTTAAGCAATGAACGAAAGTTTGACTAAGTTATGCTGACTCCATTAGGGTCGGTAAATTTCGTGCCAGCCACCGCGGTCATACGAAAGACCCAAGTTAATATTCCAACGGCGTAAAGAGTGCTAAAATCCTAAACAAATAAACAAATAGAGTTAAGACTTGACTCCGCTGTAAAAAGCCAAAGTCAAAGCAAAAATAAACAACGAAGGTGACTCTAATTTTTGCAGCACTAAAGCTATAGCCTAAACTGGGATTAGATACCCCACTATATCTAGCCATAAACATAAATAGTTCATAACACTACTATTCGCCAGAGAACTACAAGCCACCGCTTAAAACTCAAAGGACTTGGCGGTGCTTTATATCCATCTAGAGGAGCCTGTTCCATAATCGATGATCCCCGATCTACCTTACCACTCCTTGCTAATTCAGCCTATATACCGCCATCTTCAGCTGACCCTAAAAAGGAAACAAAGTAAGCTAAAAAAGTAAATACTAAAGAAGTTAGGTCAAGGTGTAGCCCATGGAGTGGAGCGAAATGGGCTACATTTTCTAATCCTAGAACATTACGAAACTCTATGTGAAACCCATAGAATAAAGGAGGATTTAGTAGTAAATTAAAACTAGAGTGTTTAATTGAATCGAGCAATGAAGCACGCACACACCGCCCGTCACCCTCCTCAAAACCTTAACAATTAAAAGTCCATAACGCCTAATTATAAAAGACTGAGAGGAGACAAGTCGTAACAAGGTAAGTGTACTGGAAAGTGCACTTGGAAGAATCAAAATATAGCTTAAACAAAGCATCTGACTTACACTCAGAAGATTTCAATCCTAATGAATATTTTGAACTATATCTAGCCTAACAAACTACCAAATTAACTATAACATACACATAAATCAAACCATTTACCAAAAATTAGTATAGGTGATAGAAAATTTAACTTTAGCGCTATAGATAAAGTACCGTAAGGGAATGATGAAAGAAAAACCTAAGTAAACAAAAGCAAAGATTAAACCTTCTACCTTTTGCATAATGAACTAACTAGAAAAACTCTGACAAAGAGAACTTTAGCCAGAAACCCCGAAATCAAGCGAGCTACCCTAGAACAGCCTTTTACAGGGCCAACTCATCTATGTAGCAAAATAGTGAGAAGATTTTAAGGTAGAGGTGAAAAGCCTACCGAGCCTGATGATAGCTGGTTGTCCAGGAAAGAATTGACCTCAGAGGGGTGTCTGACCAGGGGTGGGGCATTGTTGGTGAAATGGATGGAGTCCTGAGGCTACATACATCGACATACTCCTTCCTTCTGACCTACATGCTTCTGGGCTAATTGGTGGATTCTTGGGAAGGACGAGGAGACCAAATGGACCAAGCATCAGAACATACTGGCAGAGCTGGGAAAGGTGATGACCCTGTGAGAACTGTTGACAGCTGAAGGGTAGGGAAACAGGCCGGGTGTATGTGTGTGTGGGGGGTGTTGGGGTTATTCCTCCCAGATATTCACCTTCTGCTTTGACCCCCAGCGCCCTTCACCTCCCTCCTGGGATTTTCTGGGACCCTCTTCAGGTGAAAGGATGACCAAGCACAGAAGACAAGAGCTCACACAGCAAGGGGGGGGTCTATCTTCTGCATCCAACAACCCCCATGCCCAGAAAAAAGGAAAAGACCCGAGAAGGCAGGTGTGGAGGTGCTGTTCCCCACCTTTGACTAAAGCCACCAAGTTCCCACTAGGGAGAGAAAGGGTGCAGATGCATGGCTCTGTAGCTCCCACTGCTTCAGGCCAGGGACCATGTGGTGCTCCCTTTTCACCCATCACTGCATCTGCCCTTTTCCTGGGACATTGGTCACTAGGGATGGGAGTGGGATCCCCGGGTTGTCACCCAGCCCCTACCCTTGGGGCACATTAGTGGCAGAACCCTGGCTGGACTGTGGGGTGTGAGGGAGGTGCAAGTCTGTGACCTGGGGGGGTGTCACCAGGTACGGGTGTCGCAGGGTGCAGTCCCACTGGGCGGCCACTCACCTGTGCTGCTGGGAGAAGTTGTTGGTGGATGCTCCTGGTGGGGTGAGCAGCAATGGAGGGGGCATTGCAGACACTCAGGTCCAGAGCAGAGGACTAGGGGCCGGGACCAGGCCAGGGCTGCAAGCCTGCTAGCAGCTTGCCACCATCTGAGGTTTGAAATGCAGTGCCTTGGAGGAAGCAGGGGAGGGGGCTGGGAAGCAGGAGGGCACATCAATTTCCTACTCCAAAGTAGCTTCAAGACTCTTGCTCACTACTCAGCCATCTCTACCTTCTTCAACTGCTGGTAGTGGTGACAACCAACCTAGGGAATCCCAGGGGGTACAAGGCAGCATGGAATGTGGGCGTGGCCACCATTCTTGTATTCCATTGGTCAGAAAGAAACCTGAAAGAATGGTGGTGTGGCCAGAATCATGTGATGCACGCAGCATGGGCAGAGTCAAGATGACAGCAACTCCCCCAGCCACTTTCCCAGGGAACTATGTCCAATTCAGTTGGGGACAAGAGGGTAACCTGCTTTAGCCAGATGGCTGCACAGATTCTTGTGTGTGTCTATTTGTTGCCAGTCCCAAACCTTGAACTCAGGATCTGGGCACAGTCCATGAGCTGCTTTTGCTCAAGGCTAGCCCTCTACCACAAGAGCTACACGGCTCTTCTTCTGGCTTTGTTGGCACTGAAGTTGGACAGGGGTCTCAAGGACTTTCCTACTTAGGATAACTTTGATCCTCCCATCACAGCCTTGTAAGTAACAAGGAGGATTGCTGAGAGCCACTGGGCCTGCCTAATCACTGGTCTTGTTTATGTTCTTGGACAGACTGGTGAGTTCCCTATCCTCAGGTTGAAGTGGTGGGAGCTGGAGCCCACTATTCGAATCCTGGTCCTGCCACCTCTAAATGGTAGGAGATCCTAAGAAACTTGTTCCTATCCATATGATTACCAATGGAATGTGATGTAAGTCATGATTGAACAGTTCTTGAATAATTCTAGGATAAAATGATACACAATTATATTATAAGACACTGATTGATTTTAATTAATACTTTATTAAGCATTTAAACAATCACATTCATAAAATGGAGGCATAATGAAATACCTAAGAAATGGACCTTATATACTATAAAGGTGCCATTTTTTTCTGCCAAGACTGGGATTGGAACTCATGGTCTGGGTAACTCTCTTGCACTGTGTGGGAAGGGGAAGATTTCCTCCTTGAAGTCAAGAAAATCAAGTCTGTTCCTTAGGCCTGAAATTGATCCCCACCACTAGAAAACATCCTACTCATGTATAATTTCCATATATAATTTATATTTATATACATATGTTGACTCCATATTGCATTCAGTGGAGTTATTCATTTTATTTTTTGTTTTAATCATGTATTGACCATTTATTTTATTGACTATTATGACACATAGAACATTGATTACATTGATTACATAGGACATAGGTCTGCATATGTATTCCACTTCATACCTGACACTCAGAAGATTCACAGTAAAGGAAAACATGTCACCATCAGATTCTTACTCCACGATTCATTATTTGGGAGTGCTGGCATCTGAACTCATGGCCTACAAGGCCAAATTAATGAATGGGTGAGTGTCCACATGCCATCCTGGGGCAAATTGAGCTGACAGGCAGTTCCTACGACCTAAGATCGAGTCCCAGGGGTTGACAAAATAAGAACAGATTGACACGCAGGTGGCTGTATACTAATAAATATATATCTTTATACCATTCCAGAGATGTCTGTCCATTATTCACTTATATAGACTACATTTGTACCAATTCTTGGATATTTATTATACCTCCATGTAATTATTGTTATTGTTTTCATCTTTAAATTATTAATGAAATCTGTGTCTTGAAATTATTGTGTTCCTGTAATAGTATTCTTTTAATGCTTCATAATATTAAATAAAATCAATCAGCCTCCTGAAATTATGCTGTCTAATTTTATAGAAGCATCATTCACAATCAACTCATTCAACCGTGACATTGATAACATTCCATTGTTATTCCTATGGATGAGAATAAGTCTCTTAGTATCTCCTGCCATTGGTTGTGTCAGGACAGGGATTCGAAATCAGGGCTTACATTGCCACGTGGGCCTATGGTTTTCCCGGTATTCTGTCAGCCTTCAGCAATGCAAGGTGAAGTACCCTTTGCAAAAGTGTCATTTAGACCCAGGAGGTCACTGTGCAAAGGAAGAAAACATAAAAAGCTGTCTCACAGCATTTTTCTGTGCATTTTTTCCCTGAAAGGCCTGGGGGTTTAGGATCCCAGGAGCAGCTATGGGTCCAGTGGCTCCATCCCAGCCTTGAGTGATCAAAGATGAGGCAGAGTTGCCACGACCTGAGTTCAAGTGCCGTGCTGAGCATAAAATAAAATAAAATAAAAAATAAATTAGCTCTCTGGCTTGCAATTTGCACTGTTTATTCTGCATGGTTTTCGATTTGAACTCAGGGTCTGGGTACACCTGCAGCACTGTGGATGAAGCGGAATCTTACCATACTTGAAGATAAGAAAGTCAGGCCTGTTCATTAGGCACGAATTCAAGCCCCAGCCCTGGAAAACATACTATTTATATACATTGTAAAGATAGGATTTATACTTACCTATAGATGTTCAGTCCATACATGTTTGGTGTGGTTGTTCCTTGTATTTTTTTATTCATTTATTTACCATTGATTTTATTTACTACGATGACACCCACTCCATTGATTACATTGATGATATACTATCACATAGCATCTAGATTTGTAGACATGTTCTCCATCATGCCTAACACCCGGGACTCTCAGAGAAAAGAAAAATAATTTTCACACTCAGTTTCTTACTTCATGATCCACTTGGTAATGCTGGGATCTGTCTCAGGGCCTAGCAGGACCAATTGGTGAATAGGTCAAGGTGAACAAACCAGCCTGTGAGCAACTAAGGAGCTAGGCCATTCCCAGGATCTGACATTGATCCTCAGGGTGCCCCACGATAGTCATAAATTCATTATTTAAACATAGGATCTATGTTTACATACATGTGTGGACAGCATTTTGCATTCAGTGTACTTCTTATTTTGTGACTAATTCATGGAGGTATTGTGTATTTTATTGAGTATGGTGACAGGTATAACTGTGCTGACATGGATAACAACCTGTTCCTATGGTTATAGGGTTGCCTATGCATTCTCCATCCTTGTTGAGACCCAGGACTTTCACAGGAGAGGAAAACATGTGCAACGATTGCCTTCTGACATAAGGAGGAATCTTTTGTTAGTGCTGAGATTTTAACTCAAGTCTGGGTAGCTCTGTTGCACAGTGGGGGAAGGGGAAGCTCTCCATCCTTAAAGACTAGAATGTCAGTTCCAGTCCAGAGCCTAATTTGAAGCCCCAGCACTGGACAAAATAATAAACCCATCTTTTTTAAACATAGGATCTCTCTTTACCTACAGGTGTCGTATGCATCTTGCATTCAGTGTAGATTTTTTTAAATTTTATTTATTCATGGATATATTGTGTATATTATTGAGTATGGTGACAGATATAACTGTGCTGACCTGGACAACCTATTTCTATGGCTATAGAGTTGCCTATATAGCATTCTCCATCCTCTCTGAGACCCAGGACTTTCACAGGAAAGGAAAACAGGTAGATTGATTGGATTCTCACATAAGGATGAAACTTTTGGCTGTGCTAAGATTTGAAGTCAAGGCCTAGCAGACCCAATTGGTGAAAGGGTCATCGTGAGCACACCAGCCTGTGAGCCACTAAGGCACTAGGTCATTCCCTACACCTGAGATCGAGCCCTGGTGGGGGACAATATAGTCATAAATTCATAATTAAACCAAGGATCTATATTTCCATACATGGGTGGGCAGCATCTTTATTTTGTCTCTTATTCATTGATATATTGTGTATTTTCTTGAGTATAAGATGACAGATATAACTGTGGTGACCTGGATGACAACCTAGTCCCATGAGTATAGAGTTGCTTATACATTCTCCATTCTACTTGAGACCCAGAACTTGCAAAGCACAGGAAAACAGGTGCAATGACTGGCTTCTCACATCAGGGTGAATTTTTGGCAGTGCTGGGATTCACACTCGGGGCCTAGGAGGCCCAACTGCCCAATGAGTCCACGTGAGCACACCAGCCTGTGAACCACTAAGGAGCTGGGCTGTTCCCAGGAGCTGAGATCAAGCCCTAGGGAGGCCACAAGAGTCCTCAATTCATCATTAAAACATGGGATGTATATTCACATCTGTGTTTGGACTGCATCGTGCCTTAATGTAGTTATTCTCTATTTTGCATGCTATTCATGGATATATTGTGTATTTTCTTGAGTATATGATGACAGGTAAAACTCGGCTGACGTGGATGACACCCTATTCCCATGGCCACAGGGTGGCCCATGCATTCTCCATCCTAGCTGAGACCCAGGACTTAAACAGGAAAAGAAAACAGGTGCAACGATTGGCTTCTGACATCAGTATGAATATTTTGACAGGCTGGGATCTGAACTCGGGGCCTAGCAAGCCCAATTGGCGAATGGGTCCATATGAGCACAGCAGCCTGTGAACCACCAAGGAGCTAGGCCATTCCCAGGACCTGAGTTTTAGTCCCCGGGGAGGGAGAAGGAGAGCACAATAGTTATCCATTCATAAGCTGAATTTAGTATGCAAATAAGTACGTATTTGTATAGAGTAGGAGAGAAGGCGACCTGTGATGGAATCCAATCTACCGTGTGACTTCCGATTTTTGGATCTTTCCTGATTCCTCCATTTCATGACTGTGATGATTATTGTCATGCTTCATCAATTCTTCATTACAAATAATTGATACCCCATGAGTCTTGCCTATCATTTTCTACTCCCATCATGCACAAACTACTCATTCAAGGATGATAACAATTGCATTCCATGGCTCTTTCTAGGTCCAGAAAAGAGAATCTCAGGCTCTCCTGCCATTCCCTCCTCCTAGGGGGGCTGAATTCAAGCCTCAGTCCTGGAAAACATACTCCTTATATACCTTTTAAAGAAAGGATTTCTACTTCCATACAGATGTTCAGTCCATATCATGTTTGGTGTGGTTATTTATTTTATTTCTTGTTTTATTCATTTATTTACCATTTATTTTATTGACTCTGATGACACCTATACCATTTATTATATTGTTTACATCCTATCACATAGCATCTAGATTTGTAGATGTGTTCTCCATCATGCCTGGTATTGCTAGGATCTGAATGCAGGGCCTAGCAGGCCGAATTCATGAATGGGTGAGTGTGAGCATGGCATCCTCTAGCCAATGAAGCTGTCAGGTGGTTACTAGGCGCTAGTTTGTGCCCCAGGTTTGGCCAAAACAGCGATAAATAGATAGGCAGGTGGTGGTATACAAATAAATAAACATTGGTAAACAGTGCCAGAGCCTTCTATGACTGAATGACACCTACTATGTTCCTACCAACACTTAGGTATTTATTATTCCACCATTACAGGAATATTATTCTTTTCATGCTTAATAAACTATTAAGATCAATCAGCAACCTAGGATTATTGCATCCAATTTTAGACTCAACTTGTGCATGAACTACTCTTTCAGTTGGCATTCATATGCATAGGAACAAGTCCCTTGCATTCTTCTACCATTGTTAGGTGTCAGGACCGGGTTTGAACCAAGAGCCTATGTTGACAGGTTGGCCTATGGTTTCCCTGATAGCCCGCCAGCTTTCAGCAATGGCAGGTCAGCTCCACTTTGCAACCAGGTAATTAAGACCCAGGATAGTCACCTTGCAAAGAAAAAAATCCTAAAACCCTTCAGCCCTCTGCAGCTCACCACTTTTTGTGCTTTCCAGCTTTTTTTTTTCTTCCTGCAATCCCTCTGGGCCTAAGATCCCCCAATCGAATATGGGTCCAGATGCTGCACCCCAGCCTAGGGTGATCGAAGCTAAGGCAGACTTCCATGACATGAGTTCAAGCCCCATTGTTGACCAAAAAAAAAAAACCAAATAAAAATTAATTAATTAATTAATTAAATTAAAAAAATAAAGCTCATTTGTTTGGAATTTCTGCCAGTTTTCTTTCCTAGCCTAGGATTTGAACTCAGGGTCTTGGTAAATCTGTAGCAATGTGTGGGAAGGTGCAGTGTTGTCACTACTTGAATTCAAACCCTGTGCCAAGCCAAAAAAAAAATAAGTCACTGACCTGGGCAGTGGGAGTAGTTGTGGACATGGTAGAGAAGGTATGGTAGGGGGAAAACAAAGGAGGAAGCAACAATGCTCAATAGGAAATGTGCTCATTACCTTGCTCATGTAACTGTAACCCCTCTGTACAACATTTTTACAATAAAAATGTACAAAATGAAACAATATAGTTCTCAGAGAAGCACTTTAGGGGTAAAGGAAGGATGTCTGAATAGCTGTACAAAATTCACCACTGCATTTTTGTTTAATGCTCAGTATGAAACTGAATAAACATAACAGCTTCCATTAAAAAAAATTAAGTCTCAGTCTTGGAACTGGTGCCAGTATTTCTGCTATTGCTGGGATTTGATCTCACTGTCCAGGTAACTCTTTTGCACCATAGGTGAAGGCAAATCTCACTGTCCTTGAGGAAAAGAAATTCAGGCTAGAGTTCCCAGGGACTGAATGAAGGCCCTGCAATGGAAAAACTATTTCTATACATGTGTAATATATGATATATACTTACATATGTATGTTTTTTACATATTATGATTACTATTGATTTTGTATTTTATTTTTATTTGATTCATTAATTTATTGTTTTATTATTATACACATAATATTTATTACATTTTGAACATACATTATAAAATTATACACAATAATTTAGGACATTAACTCATTTTTCATTAATCTTTTATTAAGTGTTGAAACATGATACATAATTAAATGGAGGCATTTGTCACAGTCTTCACATGTTTAGAGTCTCACTCAAGTATGAGCTGTGTTTTACCTTTGGATACCTTACTATAGTGATCTCTTTAGATGATTTATAGTCAGAAGCCTTTTCTTGAGGATAGGCAAGTTGAGGGATAAAATTGTAAGGGTGGGGCAAGAAATGTGGCTTAGTGGTAAAGAGCTCACTCAGCTTGCATGAATGTCAGGGTTTGAATCCTCAGTGCCACATACTCAGAAAAAGCCAGAAGCTGTGGAGGGGCTCAAGTGGTAGAGCACTAGCCTTGAGGAAAAGAAGCCCCAACACTGTCAAAAACAATAGGCCATATGCCAGTGGCTCACACTTGGAACTCTAGCTTCTCTGGAGGCTGAGATCTGAAGACCACCGTTCAAAGTCACCCTAGACAAGGAAAGCCTGTTAGACTGTTATCTCCAATGAACCACCAAAAAACCCACGTGGTGCTGTGGATCAAGTGATACAGTGTTTGCCTTGCTCAGGAAAAGTCCCTAGATTTGATTCAATTCACACAATTGGAAAAAACTAAGGGTTAATCAAAGTACTTTTTCTATTTGCTAATTAGGAGAACATTCTCTGGAAAATGAACGCTGATATATAGCAGAATTGAAATCAGAGCTCAAGGTTCAAGTGTAGCAGATCCATATGCCCAGCCTCTCCGACTCTAGCATTATAACCTTGTGTCCTACGGGGTTCTGAAAGGTCAAATGTTGAAAGACATAATATGCTCACCAAGCCCTTTGTGATGAGCAGTTGACTTGTATTGTTGATGTCATTACACTTCTGAACCCAGCAGAACAGCAGTGGCTCACACCCGTCACCTAGCTCAGGAGGCTGAGATCTGAGGATCACAGGGTGAAGCCAGCTAGGGCAGGAAAGTCTAGGACAATCTAACTTCCACTTTGGAAAGGTCAGATGTTCAAGAGCTTCCTGTGTTTCTCTTGGTGATGAGAAGTTACTTGCACTCTAAATGTTCTTAGAATTCTTGAGCTATAGAAGCAGAAAAGAAACATTTTTAACCCATCCTGGGTTCAAATGAAGTATTCAGGATCCAAGCCCTAGCCCTGTTAGCAGGAAGAACTCCTGTGTAACATTGTATTTGAAGGACCAAAAACAGTTTCAAAAGACATGCTAGGTGAAGAGACCTAGGCTTGCAGGATTAGGAGGCAGAATGTACATAATCAACAGGGAAGTGAGCTGCAAAAGCACTTCATGCATTCCAGGCACAGCCAGCAAAGGGGGGAACCCTGAAACATTTGTTAGAGTTACACCAGGGTCAGGCCTTTCTCAGCCTCTTCAAACAATGACTAATTAACCTTCCTCTCTCAGGTGAAGGGAGCCTCAGGCTATCTTTAGGTTAACAATAGAGAGCCAGTTTAGAGAGGGAGAGGGGAGGAACAGAGAAGAAAAACCCTGCTCTCTGCCTTAAGGAATGGGATTTTGACTCTCCATCTGTCAGATTTAAAGACCATTCTTCTACCTCTGCCAATTCATTCTCTTTCCTTCATTCTGCACATCATTAATGCAAATTCCCAGTCCCAGGAGAGGCAGGGCCCTTTCTCTTCTGTCTCTAAGCACCTGAGTTAGAACCTGGCTCTGCCCTCTTGGCTCTTGGGCCTTCTGCTGCCTGAGAAGTGGGACAGAGACAGTCTTCCTGCTCTGTGGTTGTGTGAAGGCAATGTGGTGGCCTGGCTCCCTGCAGAAGGCCTCACACTGGGAAGTATTCCCTTCTTTCCTCCTGACGTCCAAGATCTATCTATCCACCTATCTACCTACCTTCCTTCCTACTTACCTACATAGCTAGCGATCTCTTATCAGTTTTTGGGATGAACTCAAGGCCTGGGCACTGTTTCTAGCTCTCTGCTACTTGAGCCACAGCACCAATTCTGGCTTTTTTCTGTGTGCTACTGAGGAATCGAACCCAGGGCTCTTGCATGCTAGGCAAGCACTCTCTCACTAATCCAAATACCCAGCCCCCTCATCTTTTTCTTCATTGTAGTTTTTACATAAGTATGCTACCATTTTACGTCCCCAAGTTTAATTCTGAATACTGGCTATTTCTATGAACACTTTTCTTCCCCTGCCTGATTTGTCACTGTCCCTGCCTTGGCCTCATAATAAAATGTAAATAAAGGCTGTTGAGAGCTTAAGTGTGCATCATATAAAGACACAGGCCTGCTACCCTGGAAGAGAAAAGCCATGGGCTTGAAATGAAAAGAATGGTGCAGTATGTGCAACGAGTATATCTGAAAAATAAATCAGTAAATAAAGCAGAAGCATTGAATATGGTCTGTTTGCACTCAGGGTGGTAATATACACACATAAGTAGGTAGGGCACTGATACATAACTTGGTATTCTCTTCTTTAATTTATTTTGTGGCCATCCCAGGGCTTAATCTCAAAGCCCGCTGCGTTCCTCAGTTGTTTTGCTCAAGGGTGAGGCTCTACCACCCTCACAGCTCCACTTCAAGCCATCTGGTCATTAATTGGACATAAGTACCTTCCAAACTTTCTTGCCTGGTCTGGCCTGTTTTTCCTGCTCGGCTTTCTCTCTCAAAGCTGGAGCTCTACCCTCTGGGCCACTGCTTCACTTTTGGTTTTCTTTTGGTTTTTGGAGATAAGAGTCTCAAAGACATTCCTGCTTGGGCTGGCTTTGAACGGCAATCTCCTGAGGAGGCTTCAAGCGGCTTTCCTCAAGGATTCGCCAAGGAGGTGCTCCACAGAAATCCTTAGTCTAAATCTTGAGACCATGAGCTCAGAGCAGAAACCCAGAGCTTTACCATTTTGTGCCACAGCTTCACTTCTAGTCTGTGTGTGTGTGTGTGTGTGTGCGCGCGCGCGCACGGGCTTCTGCTCTGAGCCTATGGTCAGCACCTAGTCCCTGTGTTCAACCCCAAAACCTAGCCACCCAGGGCCCAACTAAGAGAAGTGAAACATTTCAAAACTTGATGAGCTTCACCAGACTCATATGACAGGAAGCATTGTGATACCAGACATGTGCTTGGATTTCCCAAGCTTCCAGAACCCTGGGAGAGGCATCATAGGTCCATCATTGCTGCAGGTCCTGGGGTTGAACTGTGAGCCTAGGCATACTCTCTGAGCTCCTTTTACTCAAGGGTATTGCATTAACCTTGAATCCAAGCCTTACTTCTGGGTTTTTCTTTGATCTCTCAGAAATAACAATGTCAGGGACTTTCCTATGCTGGCTGGATTCAAACTAAGGTTCTCTACATCTCAGCCTCCTCAGGAGCTAAGATTACAGTCAGCAGCCCTTGGCACCTGCCTTTCTTTTCTTCTTCATTTTTTAATCTGGACAATCTGACTTCTTAACAGGGTCATTCCAATGGTTTGAATTTATAAGTAAACTACCCCAATGTTCTTACAGCTGCTTTCTCTGAGAAGGATTTTCTCTCCTCATCTTCTCCTCTGGTCACAGGTTTGAAGCCAAAAGTGAGAAATGAGTGTCCCAGGATTTGGGAGCAAATGTCCACAGGACATGCCAGCTTTGTCACTTAGCATTGAGCTGCAGTGAATTTACTGTTTCAGGATGAGAGGACCGAAAGCTGGAGCGATCCTCATACTCTCTGCATTGCTCCCTTTGCCTATAAAATGACCTAATAATTATGAATGTTTTTTTTGTCTACACCCTTAAGTATCTAGAACACACCAGAAGCATATTCATGTTTCTGTTTTTCTCTAGCACACACACATGCACGTACAGCTTCACTTCTGGTCTCTGTGTGTGTGTGTATGTGTGTGTGTGTGTGTGTGTGTGTGTGTGTGTGTGTGTGTGCATGCGCACACGCTCATGCACACACATACACATGTGTGCATACACCAGTCCTGGAGCTTGAACTCAGGACCTGAGCACTGTACCTAGTTTCTCTTATACAAGGATAGCCCTCTCCCACTTGAGCCACAGAGCCACTTCAGGCTTTTTTCTAGTGATGTGGTCCTGAGAAATCAAGCCCAGGGTTTCATATATGCAAAGTACTCTACCTCTAAGGCACATTCCCAGACCACTAAGTCAGGTTTGTTTGTTTGTTTCTGTTTTTTTTTATTGTTGTTGTTGTAGGTTGTAGGAGTTAAAGTCTGGGTCTGGTGCTGTCCCTGAGCTCTTCAGCTCAAGTTTGTGCTCTACCACTTGAGCCACAGAGCTACTTCAGGTTTTCTGGTGGTTCATTGGAGCTATATGTCTCAAGGACTTTCCTGCCCAGGTTAGTTTTGAACCATAATCCTCAGATCTCATCCTCCCGAGTAGCTAGGATAACAGGCATGAGTCACAAGCACCCAGCTTCCACTTCAGTTGTCTTAGTGGTGAATTGAAGATAATAGTCTCAGGACCTTTTGTGTCTGGGATAGTTGGGAACCCATATCCACAGATCTCAACTTCTTATAAGGCAAGGCAACAGACTTCAGCTATCAACTCCTAGGCCGTGGCATTCTGCTGCAAGGTGGTTAGTGGTTCCATGTGGTGGAGTGTTAGCCATGAGCCCAAGAGATAAGGGTCAGCACCTAGGCCCCGAGTTCAAGGTTCATGACTGAGAAAAATCAAAACAAAACAATTGTCCACAGGAGACAACTCACTAGTCTTCAGTAATACATAATTTTGTCTCTGCCATGGGGACATATCTGAGCCTCAATATTCTTGTCTGCATAATCATCTGAGTTGTGGAGGTCTTCGAGTACCAGGTGAAAGAGTGCACCCAATGAAGGACACAGCACATGTTACTCTTTGCAGGACTCAGCTGAGAGCATCTTATGAAGGACTCAGCACATAACTCTATTCGATAAGCTGTCATTAGGATTGGGGTGCTTTCATCAGTATCACCATTCTTTGAGGAATATTTCACAAACCAAACAAGTTCACATCTAATGGTTTAATGGTATTTTTGAGGGGGGAGTTACCCAGGGTGCTGGAACTCAAAGCATGGGGATACCGTTCTAATAACATTTGCTCAAGGCTAAAGCTGTACCACTTCAAGCCACATTTTAAAGTGTCCCGTAGACTTCCTGCTAGGACTGGGTTTTAAAGCCCCCAAGCAGCCAGGATGATAGGGGTAAGCCAGCAGCGTCTGGTTCCTTGCAGCTGGGTTGCAGGCGTTTACATCTGGCTAAGTCAGGTTAGGTGGAAGCTTTCAGCACCAGACTCCTAGCTTGCTTTGTGATGAGGTATTTGAAGTCCTGTCCTTCTACAGTTGCAGTTAGAACATTCTGCCTTTTTGGCAGCAGTCCTGGGGCTTGAGTAAGGGCTTCGACAGTGTCCCTAAGCATTTGTGCTCAAGGCTGGCACTCAATTGAGGAAAGGCAGCAGAACTTCCAGGTTTTCTGTTTATGTGGCACTAAGGAATCAAAACCAGGGATTCGTGCTTACTAGGTGAGAACTCAACCACTGAGCCCCAGGAGTGAACAAGATATAAATAGATAGAGATTGCTCTATATAAATATTATATACACAAAAAGAGATGCCTGTATATTATTAAATTATAGATAATATTACTACCAATTATTAGGTATTAAATTATGTCTCTGTTTAATGATGTGTCCCAGTTGAACCATTAATAAAGCATTAATTAATAATTACTCAATATCCTGTTATTATTTATCACATATGTATATACATCCATACATATAATTACATATTTTATAGAACAAGACAGATGTCTACATATAATTAAATTATGTATGCATCATGTGTTACTACCAATTATTATGTATTTAATTATGTCTCCATGCAATTTTTATTCTGTTAGTGCTTAATAAAATATTCATCTTAATGCAGTCCTATAGTTCTTATATCTAATATTATCCTACAATGATTCACTACTAATTCAATTTGTTTATCATTTACTGTAGTGATAATTTTTCCACCTATGACATTTATTACATTTATGACATCCTCTTACATAACATATAGATTTGCATACGAATTATACATCCTACCTGACACCGAGCACTTTCAAAGAAAAAGAAAACATGTGTCATGCTCAGCTTCTCACTCCATGATTACATTTTTGGCAGTGCTGGGATCTAAATTCAGGGCCTACAAGGTTTAATTCATGAATGGGTGACTGTCAGCACAGCAGCCGCTAGCCAATTCATCTGCCAGGCAGTTCCCAACCCTGAGATCAAGCCCCATATGTTGACTCCATATTGTGATTAATGTATTCATTCTTTTTGTATTATTCATTTATCTACCATTTATTTTATTGACTGTTAATACACAAGGAATATTTATTACATAGGGCATAGATTTGCTTGTGTATGAAACTTCACACCTGACACCCAGACCTTTCACAGAAAAGGAAACATGTGTCACTTTGGGCTTCTTAATCCACGATTCAATTTTTGTGAGTGCTGGCATCTGAACTTACAGCCTACAAGGTCCAACTCATAAGTGGGTGAGTGTCAGCATGTCAGCCTGGGGCATATGGAGCTGACAAGCAGATCCCAGCATCTGAGATCGAACCCCAGGGGTTGACAAAATAAGAGCAGATTGACATGCAGATGGTAGTACACAAATAAATATAGATCTTTATAGTGCCAGAGATGTTTATACATGATTCAGTTATATATGCTACATTCCTACCAATTCGTGGATATTCATTATGACTCCATGTAATTAATATTATTGTTTTCATCCTTAATGAATTATTAATTAAATCAACCACTGTCCTGAAATTATTGTGTCCATGTAATTAATTGTATTCTTTTAATGTGTCAAAAATATTAATTAAAATCCATCGGCCTCCTAAAATCACTCTAATTTTATAGTAGTATCATTCAGGAAGAACTAATTTAACCTGGACATTCAAAACCTTCCATTGGAATTCCTATGAATATGAACGAGACTCTTAGAATGTCCTGCCATTGGTAGGGGTCAGAACTGGGCTTTGAACTCAGGGCCTATGTTGCCATGTTGGCCTATGGCTTCCCTGGTAGCCCACCAGCTTTCAGTAAGCCACGTTAAGAGCATTTTTCAGCTGTGTCATTCAGATCCAGGATGGTCACCTTGCAAAGAAAACAAATGTAAAACTGTCAGCCATCTGCAAGTTGAACGGTTTTATTCTGTGTTGATTTATTTACTTTTTTCCTGTCAGCCTTTGGGGCCTAGGAACCCAGGATTGGCTGTGGATCCAGTGGCTGCACCCCAGGGTAGAGTGATCAAAGTTGAGGCAGAGTTGCCACGACATGGGTTCAAGCCCTGTGGCAAAATAAAAATACATACATACATACACATATACACACATACATATGTACACTATAAATATTTTAAAAATTATGAGGCTCCTTGGCTTGGAATTCATGCCATTTTTTTCTGGCAGGCCTGGGATTTGAACTCAGGATCTGGGTAAATCTACAGCACTATGGGGGAAGGGCAAGCTCACGGTGTTGGAAGACAAGAAAGTCAGGCCTGTTCCCAGGGCCTGAATTCAACCCTAGCATTCAAAAAAAATATTCGTATACATTTTAAATACATGACTTACATTTACTCTCAATTGTTTACTGCAGGGGCTGGGAAGGTGGCTCAGTGGTAGAGCGCTTTCCTTGAATGCCTGAGGCCCTGGGTTCGATTCCTCAGCACCACATAAGCAAAAAGAAAAAAGCCGGAAGTGGCACTGTGGCTCAAGTGGTAGAGTGCTAGCCTTGAGCTGAAGAGCTGAGAGACAGCACCCAAGCCCAGAGTTCAGGCCCCGCAACCAGACCCAAAAACAAATGTTTACTGCATATTACAGTTAGTGTATTAATTGTTTTATTTTGTTTTTAATTATTTGTTTTGTATTTTAGTGAGTATGATTGCATGTATAACATTTTTTACATCCTATCACATAGGACATAGATTTGCATATATATTGTACATCATACTTGAGACCCAGGACTTTGACCGGTAAGGAAAACATGTGGGACAATTGGCTTCTTCCACCAGGATTAAGTATTTGGCAATTCTGTGATTTGAACTCAGGGCCTAGAAGGCCCACTTCATGAATGGGTCAATGTTAGCATACCAGTCTGATGCAAGTGAAGTTGTTGGGCAAATTTGAGGACCCAAGTTCATGTCCTAGGAGTGGCCAATATATAAACAGACAGATGTGTAGACTGAAGTGTGTGTGTGTATTTATATATGTATATGCATCTATCAATAAATGTATACAGAGACAGACATTTATGTAGATTCTAGTGTATAACTATATATAAAGTGTGATATCTATATTGTATTTATATATATATTCTATTACTACCAATTATTTGGTATAAAATTATGCCTCCATTAATTAATCACAGTAGAAGACTTAATAAAGTATTAATTAAATTAATCAATAATCTATATTTATTGTGTACAATCTTATACTAGAATGACTTGCTAATTAGTGATTCAATTAGTACATGTCAACATTCTATTAGTGTTCCTATAGATAGGAACTAGTTTCCTAGGATCTTCAGCCATGTGTAGGTGGCAGTCCCAGGATCGAACTAAGGGCCTCTGTGCATGGATTGGGCTCAGGCTTCATTAACAGCCTCGGCTATGCAAGGTCACATAAAATTTTCAAGCCTAGTCACTGTCACCCAGGATGGTTACAGTGCAAAGGAAACAAAGGTAATACTGTTGTGTAAAACTTCCTGGTTTATTCATCCTCCATTTTTGTTGGTTTGATGATTTTTTTCCAGTGAAGGGAGTTGAACTTGGTTCCTAGGATCCCTGGGTCATCTGTGGGTGTAAAAGCTGCACCCCAGCTTAGGGTAATCAAGGCTGAGGCAGAGTTAGGGCAACCTAATTTCAAGACCCATGCCTGCCCCCCCCCCCCACAAAAAATGTTAAGGCATTGACTTGGAATTTAGGCCATTTTTTCTGCCATACCTGGGATTTGAACTCAGGGGCTGGGTAACACTATTGTGATCTGGGTGACATAGGAGTTCACCGCCTTGAAGAAAAGAAATTCAGGAACATTTCCCAAGGCATGAATTCCAGGCCCAGGACTGGCAAAAATAATCGTTATATACATTTATAATGTATATCATATATATGCATGTATTTGCATAGATATTATATATTGTACCTAGGACACAAGATTTTCACAGAAAGGAAAACAGTTCAAAATTGGCTTCTTACTCCACCTATTAACTTTGGCACTGCTAGGATTTGAACTCAGGGCCTGGAATGCCCAATTCATCAAGTGGCCATTAAGCACAGCAACCTCAAAAAAATTTACTGCCAGGCAGTTCTCAGGACCTGACTTCTAGCCCAAGGAGTCGCCAATATATAAATAGATAGAAGTGTAAATTGCTGCAAATATATATATATATATATATATATATATATATATATACATACATAGAGAGAGAGAGAGAGAGAGAGAGAGAGAGAGAGAGAGGGCTGGGAGAGAGAGAGATTTATAGGTTTATTTGATTGTATATTTAAATATATAAAAATTTATAGAATGCAAGATGTTTACATATTAAATTACATGTAATATATTACTAATAATTAATAGATATTGAATTATGCGTCCATTTAATGATGTATCATATTTTAAGGCACAATAAAATGCTTCCTTGAGCAAAAGGAGCTCAGGGACAATGTCAAGAATCACAATTCAAGACTCAGGACCTGCCGCAAAAAAAAGAGCCAGTAACTCCACGTATCTGTGTATATATGCAAGTATTTCTATCGGTGAACATCCAGAGTCCCTATGAAGAAAGGAACTCAGCTAGGAAATTTGCTTTGAATAGAATGATTTCTTAGCACAGCTTTCAAGACAGTGCATGTTCCAGAGCTCTCCTCACTGTTCCCAGTGTAACTTGAGGGTTTCTCCACACCCCAGGCTGCTGGAGGAAGTCTGCTTCATTGTTGGAACAGGCAAACAAAAAGCCTTACTCCTGTACAGCTGTGTAACAAACATTTCATCTGGGGCAATTAGTGAGGATGAGTGTGGGTGGGCTCTAAAGGCCAGGTGAAAAAGCCCTCCTTTTCCCCAAGCTATCTCTCTCCCCAGTGCTCTGTTTGGACAGGAAGTCTTCATTTGTGCCACCTCCTGTGGCAGGCCAAGTTCCCTGCACTCATCCTGTCTTTGTTACACTATGTTCCAATGTTGAGACAAACTGCTACAATTAATTGAAGAGTCCTTCTGGCAGACAACTAGGGCCCTGAATCTAATGAAATGATTCATTATTGGCAGTGTTGCCTCCCTAGGTTTCCGGAAGCTTCCTAAATCTAAGCACTTGTGCAAAATCACAATGCTTCCTGTCATCTAGGGCTGGTGAAGCACATCAAGATTTGAAACCTTTGACCTCTCCTAGTTTGGCCCTCGGTGGCTAGATTTTGGGGTTGAACACAGGGCGAAGGTGCTGACCATGACTTCAGAGCAGAAGCTCAGTGTTTTCCCATTTGGTGTCACAGCTTCACTTCTGTTCTGTGTGTGTGTGTGAGAGAGAGAGAGAGAGAGAGAGTGTGTGTGTGTGTGTGTGTGTGCATACACCAGTCCTGAAGGACTCAGGAACTGACCACTGACCTGAGTTTCTCTTGTACAAGGACAGCACTCTACCACTTGAGCCACAGAGCACTTTAGATTTTTTTTTCTAGTGAGGTGGCACTGAGGATTCAAGCCCAGGTTTCATGCATGCAAAGCACTCTACCCCTAAGACACATTCCTAGCACTCCACTTCAGGTTTCTTTTTTCTTATAAGTTGGAGGAGTTGAAGTCTGGGCCTGGGTGCTGTCTCTTCAGCTCAAGTCTAGAGCTCTACCACTTGTGCTAAAGAGCCCCTTCAGATTTCTGGTGGTTCATTGGAGATAACCATCTCAAGGAATTTCCTGCTCAGGCTGGCTTTGGACTGTGATCCTCAGCTCTCAGCCTCCTGAGTAGCTAGGATGACAGGCACGAGTCACCGGTACGCAGCTTCCACTTCAAGTTTCTAAGTGGTGAATAGGAGATAATAGTCTCATGGGACCTTTTGTGTCTGGGATAGTTTGGAACGCAGATCATCAGATTTCAGCTTGCTAAGTAGGCAGGATGACAGACCTCAGCTAAAGACACCTAAGCTCTGACACTATACTAAAAAGAGTCGTTGGCTCCACGTGGTAGAGTGCTAGCCATGAGCCCAAGATGAAAGTCAGTGCCTCGGCTCTGAGTTCAAGGTACATGATGGAGAAAAGTAAACCAAAATAATTGTCTGCAGGAAACAACTCACTACATTTCAGTACATACATCATTTTGGCCCTGACATGGGGACATATCTGAGCCTCAACTTTCCCATCTGCACAATCATCTTACTTGTGGAGCTTTTACAAGGACCAGATGAAAGAATGAACCCCGTGAAGGACTAGGCATACAACAACTCATGAAGAACTCATCACATAGCTGTATCCCACATGCTGTCATTAGAATTAGGGTGCTTTAATCAGTATCACCATTCTTTTAGAAACACATCACAAACCTCACAAAGTTCACATCTGATGATTTAGAGGGGTGGTTTTTTTGGGGGGGAGTCAGCCACATGGATTGCACTCAAAGGTTGGGGGTACTATCCTAAGATATTTAGCTCAAGCCTAGAGCTCTGCCACTTTGAGCCACAGGTCAGAGTTTCGCAGACTTAATGCCAGGACTGAGTTCTAAACCCACCACTGTCAGATCTCAGCCCCCTAGTATCTTGCATGACAGGGGTGAGTGAGCCAGCAGCATCTGTTTCCGTGGAGCTGGGTTGCAGTGGTTTACCTCTGGCTAAGTCGGGTTAGATGTCACCTGTCAACACCAGACTCCCAGCTTGCTCTGTGATGAGGTATTTGCTGCCTATCCTTATATCATTACAGTGAGAACATTCTATCTTTTTTTTTTTTGGTGCCACTACTAGGGTCTTGAATAAGGATCTAGACACAGCCCCTATGCTTTCATCCTCAAAGCTAGTACTCGACTACTTAAGCAAGACAGCACAACTTTCGGATTTTTCTGTGCATGTGGTAGTGAGGAATCGAACCGAGGGCTTTGTATGTCCTAGGAGAGCACACTACCACTGATCCCCAGGAGTGACAAGTATACAAACAGATAAATGTGTAGATTGGTGTATAGATAGGTAAGTAGGTAGATAGATAGACAGATAGATAGATAGATAGATAGAGAGGTATATGCTTAAAACAAGAAAGAGATGTCTGTACATTATGAAATAGCATATACAATATTGCTACCGATTATTGGCAATTAAATTATTCCTTCCTTTTTTAAGTATCATGATTGAATACATAATAAAGTATTAATTGAAAATTAATGTAGTATAATTTTTGTATATAGTTTTATAATATAATCATACACTAGTAATTTATTTGTTACTTTTATAACATTTCATTTGTATGGATGTATATCAGAATGTGCCTTAGAATCTCCCACCATTCATTAGTGGCAGTACCAGGATTCAACCTCCAGGCCTAAGTTGCCTCTTTTGGCTATGGCTTCCCTAATAGCCCACCAAATATCAGTAATGCAAGGTCATGTACACTTTCTGGGCCTTGTCATTTAGACCCTGGATGGCCACAACACAAAGGTGGAAGAAAAAGTTAAACCACCTTCTTGAACTTCTCAGTTTTTTTTTTTATTGTGAGAATACCATACAGAGGAGTTACAATTACATGGGCAAGATAACCAGTACCCTTCTTATCAAGCATTGTTGCCTCCTCTTTGTTTCCCCTTCCCATCTCAATTTTATCCTTCTCTCTCTCTTTTTTTTTTTTTTTTACTAGCCTCAAGATTTGAACTCTGGTCCTAGGATCCCAAGGTTGGTTGTGGCAGAGATGCCAAGACCTGAGTTCAAGCCCCATGCTTTGGCCAAAAAAAATAATAATAAAGCCCTGGCTTGGAATTTGCACCTTTTTTCTGGCAGGCTTTTGATTTGAACTCAGGGTCTGGGTAAATCTGTGACACTGTAGGTGAAGGGGAAGATCACCGTCCTTGAA